TATCTTCGAATTTCATCTGCAAAGTCAGCCAAATCAAAGTTCGACTCTTCCCTTCTTTGCCATTTGAGTTTGTATCAATTTTTGCTAATTTTATCTCGCCATATTGGTCGCAATTTTATCTATTAAAAATCGTTACATCATGTTTATACAGCATGGGAAATGCGTAAATGCTACTCGATTTGAAGGTTAATCCGGCAAATCGATCGGTTTTCGCACACTGGCGTAAAGCGGTATTTTTTATAAAAATCTGAAAATGTTGTCTTTCACTGTCTGTTGCGGTGCGCTTTACATTATTCGGGATAAATCTGAGGTGTTTCAGTCTGGAGATCGGTTCGGCCAACCAAAACTTCCTAGTCGGTTGCAGGTCAGCTACAATGCAGTAGAACAGTTGAAAAACTCCCATTTATACTCCCGCAATGCTACATATTTTCAATCTAAGGTCATGCAGCTACGTGTCCGACAATATATCAGTTAATTTCATAATTGTGACGATTAGTACCAGTCATTGTTTAGAAATAGTTTCAATTTTCCGCCGAATCAAGCCCGAATAAATTAAAATAATTAATTTGCATTAGCTAAATAAATGTGCATCGGATTCTGTAATGTTAAGTTTAAAAGATTTTACATCTATATTAGGCCTTCAGAAGGACTTTCCATATCAATTCACTATAAAGTTTTGCTGCCATATGACCGACCATGAATCCAAAGAGCGATAGTAAAACAACATACACATAATAAACCCATAGTTATTAGGTTGCAAAACAGGCGTCAAATGCGAACGCATAGGCGAAGTAATTAAGTTCTTGGTCACATACAAGGAAACCGTTCTAGATGCACACTCATCCATAAAATCTACTGACCTCTGCTCAGTTGAAAATGTTCCAGTGCCAGGCGCATTGAGCGAAAATGCATTTCTGTTTTTTGCTCGTTCAGATAAATATATCTAAAGCGGTGTAATTGGGGTGGAATCTTGAATAGATACATACAAAAGAGGGTTAAAAGCTTTGGTTAAAGTTTCCCATGAATTCAGGGAAACTACACAGTAATAATAACTAAAAGAAAAGTTGCGATTTAAGTCCCAAATGTTGATAGTGAAATATTTTGGTGAAAAGTTTAAAATATGTCCAATTGGGATCCCAATAGAGAAGATATGCGAAATTTAGTCTGATTGCTTATGAAATCCTAAAAAAATTACTACAATGAAACTGAAATATTGATATTGAAATTGTTTATGCACTGTGCGCCATACGCGGATCCAGATTTCATGTGAGGGGGGGGGTCATGTACTAGAAATTCAGTCTTTTGTTGTCTATGAAATTAGAAAAAATACCCTTAGGCGACATACACCCAGCACATGACAACTATGATGAGAACTAAATGGCGTTTTAAGCTGACGTGAAACTTTAATAACAATTAAATTCGACCTAAGAAAAGCATCGTTGTAAGCGTTTTCAGAAGATTTGCTACCAGCACAGAGTTGAAATGATGCATCAATTACTCTTCAAAGTTAGCATCAGCTGCTTCCATCTTTCAAATTTAAATGTTGGTTTCCATCAAAACAGTTAATTTAAGACACTAAAATGATCCCCAAAAGTGACTGTCTGTGTCACTTGCCCAGGTGTAAACATTAAAGCGCTCACCACAATTTAAAAATACATTGTTAAAGTAAACATTATTGGCCATTTTTTCATTTTTACGATCGCTTTAATTGCGCCGAAGACGCTTTTTTATGGTTTCAAAAAGTTGAACGACTGGGTTTTCGTGAAAATTTCCACCTTTTTATTTTTACAGTTTTACGAAAGCTTGCCATAGTTGTCCAGTCGCAAGTTTTGTAAATACGAGTTTCAAGTGTGATACTTTAGTAATCGTTACAAATCGCGGAGGTTATTAAAATTTATTAAGCATTTGAAAGTTGGGGAAAAATATTATAAAACAGGTATATTAGATTGTTATGCAAAATCTAGATTTTTTAGCTAGAGGAGGCTCTGGCCCATAAAAAGAGGAGGCTCTGGCCCATAAAAAGAGGTAACTCTAATTGATCTCGAGGACTATTATTGGAAACCTCCGTTTTTAGCAGGTTCTCAGTTTGTCGGATTTTAGAACTTTCCTCAAAGATTAATTGTTTTGGATACAGTTGGCACGTCAACTCGGTTCTCATCAAACTATTTAAAATATTAATTACTCATTTTTCTATTATTGAATCCAGAAGTATTTTGTGCTTGAAACCCATAATTTTAAACAAGCGTTCATCTATTGTTTTCTTTATATTTGATCAAGTTCAGCAACTATTCAATAAATCAGCTGATCAAGAATCTTTAACAGCGATTTCTGTTTTTATTTTGGCAGTTTTCAACTAATGTTTAGAATATGAGCTTTGGACAATTTCAGCAGCCTGGGAAAAAATTTCAATAATTTTTTATTTTGTTGGATTCTTTTAAAATCCTAGTATAATTTAAACCTATACATAGTTGCCAAGAGTCGTAATTTGTCGGGGTCAAATAGCATAGATGATTGCATAAGATAATCCGCTTTAAATAATACATTATACGGTTCGTTCTATATCAGGCAGTTACAACATCCATTACTTAATTACAAACATAAAAGTTGATTGCGACCTTCATTTGGTTTAGATGTTCCAGCATCGAAAATATATGACGTAGTCACACCCACAACGTGCCGATTGGTATTTTTCCATTTACATGCGAAAATTGACAGATTTTCGTTTATTTGGTCAAGTTTTACTAGTCGCTCATACCATCGACCAATAAATTACTGAATTAAGAGAAGGGTGTTTTCGATCTTTAAAAAAATCCAAAATGGTGTTTATACAACTCGCAACGGTAGCAATTAAACAAAAAACTGTAGGTACTGATTACGAAACAAGAGCAGAAAACGCGTCGGCATCTGTGTCCCATATACTGCAATGTGGGGCCAGGCGGCCACTCAAAAACACATAATTTAGAGAGAAATCGAGAAATTTTGCACCTGTTACAGGTGCGCGAATTGGGGTAAATCCATTCGAAATTTGCATCTGTCCCTGCTCCGCACAAGCCCAACATTGTGCAAAAACCGGTCAAATTCCCGGGACATGGCGGCTATCACCTGGAGCTACATTTATATCAATCAGAATATATGACATTTTATAGACTCATATAATAATTTACACATTTTCACTCACCTCAAGCATTGGGAGATTGCAATTCGTGCTGTAAAATGCATGAGGTTCGTGCCATGGCAGGTGCTCTTAAAGAACCCGATGCACATTTGGGGTTCATCGAAACCCGTTAATAAATTGATATTAGCAAACGTGTGAGGTCATTCGACACTGAGCTCGTTGTTAAAAGTTAAACATTTTTGGAAGCTCATCCAGACAATCAGTGTTCGTGATTATTTAAATCATAACAAAAGTTGCGTAAATTGGCTTGAACTCAATGTCCATATTACGGTTTGCAATAGTTTTGTGTTGGATCTTTTGCTCCATTGCGGCAATTTCCTTAATCAAAACCTGTGACAATTCAACGCTATTTTACCAACGGTTACAAACAGGAAAACGACCAGTTTAATACAGAATTGATTCAAGGTTAATTATTATATTATTGAGATACATGATGCCACTGTATCGCGACAAGGAAATGGAGTGAGAATTACAATGTAAGGTCAATTTTATTAGCGTATTAGAACGCCCTCGGTTAGCAATATTTTTCAATGTTCGTTTTGATGAATCGAATTATAAGATTTAGCATCGCACAAAGCCGCCCTTGAAGTTGCGCTCGATCGATCAGGATCCCCACAATCCGCGCCCCTTCATCCCCAATCCATCTTCAGTGCCACGCCGACCTTGACCTGCCTTATAACTTATAACTGGGCCCGTTCACAATGAACCCCCCAAATCGAGGTTCGGTCTTGAATGGGCGAAACAAGGAGGGTGGAAAAATCCAGAGTTGCTCCATAGAAGTGAGCAAGGAAAATGCAGCGAGGCGGTATGCAGTGTATAGGAGAAAGATGGCGCAAGAGGGCAAAGTTGTAGTTTGCAGAAACCTAATGGCCGCTATTCATGGCAGTTGTCTTGAGCATTTATGTTTGCATAGTGGATTTTTCTGATTTTTCACGTGCTCTGAAGACCTTCCACAGAATGACACAGCGCTGCCGTCAAGGTTTCCGTTTAAACAGTCGCCAGCTCCTTCGGTAACATTTTCCGCTGCAGGCCAAAGCGAAATTAAGGTTATGCATTTTTGCAGGTTGCAGCAGTAAAAGTACTATGCTGAAGGTCCGCGATATTGGCCAATCATCCGTCGGCATGCTCCAGTTTATGTATCAATCAAATTAAATGCATAATCGATATTACCTGTCCATATTCACATAGATAGAAGTGAACAACACGAAAATAACAGTGGTTAGAATTAAAGCAAATTGCCTGTGGTGGCGCGTAGGTCTTACATTAGCGCTTCGACTATAGGAAAAATGAACAAATTGTGCTGACGTATAATTTTCCTAATGAATACGACCTTCTTTTCAGTAATTCTCAGTTTTGTAATAAGCCGTGTTTGTTAGGCTTTTTTTCAGAAGGTCCACCTACAATTGATCCTTGACGAGGACCTTATTATTAAACGGTTTACAAATGGTTCATATCATTCATCATTAATTGATCTGTAGATGTCAGAACTTAAAAAAATCGTCCTTCTCTTGGAAGTTACAATGCAATATTGCAATTGACCTGATAAATTCGACAACAAAATCGCCTCTTCAAAACCCTCTGTAGATCAGGCTGGGAAAGAGATCAGATTAATCCACTTCTCAACCATATGTAGGTGCAATGTTACAAAATTAGAATTAGTTTTTATTAGAATCAGAATTTATTAAATATACTCGCAATGATTACTGATGAAATCGAGAAGCAAATGAAACTGTAAAGGCATTTAGGCCGTTCAAAATATCGGTTCTAAAGTGTTCCGTGGACCATTGAAAATTATGCGGTAACGGTCAATGATTGATTCTTCAACTACTATTTGAACATATTTATTTTCAGCTAAGTTTACAAACTTCCTACTGCTACTTACCAACGAGTCCTTAAATCTAACATCATTACAGTGTCTAACACTCTATGTAACTTAAGATATGTCATCGTATAACTTAATCTGACTAACCTAACTATCCTGATCTAAACTTAAACCTAACAGCCTCTCTTGCTTCCTATAACTAACTTAGAGTTAGCCCATGGTCCTCGATGTGGTGGATTCTTTAACTGCGGCTGCTGCTCTATTTATACTATCCTGTGTCTGTGGAACGGTGGTGGGAGAGAATGAGGCGATAGAGCTGCGCGGTGTTAAGAATACAGCAACTTGCAACGTAATTTTTCTTTCTGCTGAAAGTAGGTTCTCGACCACCACACTATTGACAGACGTTTTGAGTAATTTTCAGCAAATCATGCTGAAACTATGGAAAAAATGTAGGACCATACCAAAACCAATTTCAATAAAGAAGATTTAGTGAACGAAAGAGGTGTAGGTATAGAGGAAACGGAACCAACCAAAACTACAGGTTCGAAAAAGAAAACCGATTGTCTTGTCTTCTGCGCTATTTTCCTTTGCTTCACTTTTGCGCCAGCAACTGGTTTGCTGGAATTGACCTCATCGTAAGCATAGTTCTATCGACTAACAAACACAAAGAGTTGCGTGAAGCAGGACAAAAATGGTAAAAGGAAGCCTGTATGGAAATTTAAGTTGGATGATTAATCGGTAGAAACAAAAATACTTGTATCCGATATGTTGTCGTGGCCTTGACCATGATAGGTTGACCGTGTAGACACAAACAAGGGCGAACGAAAATAGCTGATTGTTTTTTGGCTAAATCTCAACGAAAATTTATGGCCGGTAACAATCGTTTAGTAAAATGGTAATTGCTGGAGTGTGCACGAAGTCCATTCCTGCCATTCATTTAACCGTTTCTTACCTTCTTCGTGATACTCCTAGATTATAGATTTGGATCATCTGGGGGCGTAGGTTCAAATTAATTTTTCATCATGGTGCCCGTTGACCTGAACCTGAGTGGTTTTGACATAAATATATTTTTCAAACAAAATGACCTCTATCACATTTAAGTACCTACGGTCTAACTCGCAAGGATATAAAATATGTAGTAGTTTTCCTGTAGAAACCAATTCGCCAAGCGGAAAACAAGTCTGGCGTTTCACCTCTAGGCTGAGTCCTTGGATTAAGTATAGAGGGAATTTACATTATATCACTTTTCTATTTGTTTGAATCGCAATCCAACTGGGTATTTCCTTGGCCTGTATTTCACGACCTTCAAGTCCTGACGTAACTCGTAACAGTTGCCTGCAACTTATGCAGTTTTCCTGGTTTGTTCTATTCCATTTAAGAGCAGCGACTCGGAAAAAAGGAGTAAAAGATACCCGAGAGAAAAACTCAATTATTACTCGGTGCAACAAGAAGTACGAGTACTTACACAACTTGAGTATTAACGAAGTTTTCTAATTGCAAAATGTTTAAGTAATCTCCCTGCCTACGCCCGACACTTCTCTCTTCAGCTTTTTATATTTTGCGTTCTGGTTTCTGAAGCTGAAACGTTACAAACCGTGCGACAATTTTGTTATTACAGAACAATTGCATCGTGTAACGGTAGTGGAAGTGTAAGCAGTTATTAATTTTTATCGAACCGAGCAATGACACGGCCGAGACATCATTTTTAAGATTCAGGGTTAAGACCGATACAGTATTTGGGACAAGTTCGTTTGTAAATTTAGAACGAAACCGTGTAGGATGTTCCACAATCGAAACTTTGTACAGTTTTCTTTTAGAAAACGTCATATAAATTGAAATGAAAAATTTGAAGACTAAATTTAGCTGATTATTTTTTTAAGCATCAGTAGCCAAACAGTCCATTCGTGGACAAGTTTCCAAAAATTTGCGCCGTGTTTTGAAAAGAGGTCAAGCTGACCATCGAAAAGTCGATTTTAGATATTTATCGGCCCAGACATCGCTTTCGATTTCAGGGACCGTAGGCACATAATTGGAGCAAGTTCATCCAAAAGAGACTTTGTTGAACAATATTTATGTTTCGACCATTTTCAATAACTGCTTTGAAACGCTAATAATGATTATCTATTTAGTTCTTTTTCAATCAAGGCTCGGTTATCAGAAGACAAATATCTATTGCTGGCCGAGAAAAAAGGCCCATAAGGCCACCCACCAATGCCAATAATCATCCTACTCTGTCTGTGACTCACAAGGGCATTTCTTGTTAGAACAAAGGACAATAACTTGGGAGCCGCTTTGTGAAAGCACACAGTCTAAAAAGTGGTAATTACGGGTGTCAACATGCACAGAAAACTCGCGTTCGGGGTGACATCAAATATGAGGATTTCCAGTAGGTGATCGAAGAAGAAATCAATCAATTAATTACTTTTTGGTCTACAATTTAAGCAAATAGTCTGAAACCCGCGCGAATTCCAAACTCGTATCGTAGATTATACGTAGAAACGACGTCGACATCTTTATCAGCTTATAAACTAAATGGTGGTCACGTGTCATTTTGTCCTGAATATCGTAATAACAATTAATTGCCATTTTAAAACAGAAATGCAAAATAGTGCCGATACATGCAAGCAGCCCATTATTGCATTTAATGATGCTGACAGGATTTGTGGGAAATAAAAGCTTTCTCTGATTGAGGTTGTAATACGACACACTTCTTAGCGCCTTACTAAAGCCTTTATTTTAAAGATTTGAGTGTTAGCCTAAGACATCGCCATCCAAGACGTTGGGTTGGTGAGGCCATTGGGCTTTGGCCCGATTAGCAAAAGAAAAGAAATCGCGAGGGTCGGCTGCCCTTGAGCATCCCCAAGGCCGGGTCCTGCACCAGAGGAAGGGTGAACAACCGAAACCGATGCACTTTAAGTCTGCAACCGTCTGGGCCGTCCCTCCGGTCGCATTTATAATCAGGTTGAAACTGTGGGGCCCCCCCGTTTTCGATTTTCGGAGCCGCTCTCCCGATGGATTGACTCGTATTTCGCGGGCAATTAAAGTCGCGATTTTGCTAAATTTAAGAATTGCAATAAAACGACGGTAAAAATGTGGAAAGCATTCGTGGCTTGATCTTGAACTTTTTCGCAACGATATTTAACTCATCACGGACCAAGTTCAAATTGCAAAGTTTGGCTCCGATCTGCGGTTCGTCGACCGCGTTTAAGCCCGAAAGAAATATCCCGGATAAAGTTGCGGATTCCTGCTCGTTAATTTTGGAGCGCCCACGGTTGTTTCAGATGATGTTGACTGATTCGGATCTACAGGGAGAAGCGTGAAATTGTCCTCAATCCAGCGTTTGCTCATTGAAATTTGATCGTCTGCTAGCTCAGATTAAAAATCAATCATTGTTTCAGACCATGCATATTCGGTGGTAAAATTGCAACGAAAAGTGCTCCCTTCCATTTAAGGCTCAGAGCATCGTAACCAAATATTTTGTTGAAGACAGTATTTTTTCTTCGAATTGGTTCCCGGTATAAAACAAAGGCGTAAAAAACGATTCCAAAAATAAATCATGAACTCGTCAACATGACGATAATCCCATAACTCCAGGTGAATGGGTTAATTCAACCGTCAACCGTTGACATGTTTTCGCCCAATAAAAACAATTCTGGAACAATAAGCATTGTAATTTCGCATGGAAAAATCGCATGTTTTGTCTTTGGGCCCGTTGAGATACGATTATTGGCACTTTGGTTGGAAATAGTATGGTTCAACAGAAGTGATTGCTTTTGTTTCGAAAGATTCTCTTGTTTCGGATTGAGGATCGCGAAATTAGACTTTGGAGCACATTTCCGTTTGTTGAGTACGCTTTGAGTTCAGATCCGTAAGTTTCAAAGGCAAATAGTAATACTTTCCGATATTTGCGAAATAATTGCCGTCCTTGGCCTGCGCTGAGCCCCGACTTTTAAAATTGGATTAGTCAAGGCTCATCAAGGTTCAGAAAATCCTAATTTGCAATCTGGGCCGTCCAATTTGCCGGTTAATCAGTCTTCAACGTTTATAAGCACTTACAGCTCGTTGTGTCTAATTGAAGTATGCTCTAACTCGAATGAAGTCAAAACCGATAAAATTCAAGTTTGATCAGGTTTACGGAAAGTAACATGAGCACGGTTTGATACTGACACAAGACTGCTCTACCTAATAGTTGAACGCTTCGATCAAAATTGTCTATCGCTTTTCATTCATTAAAATTCAACACTATTTCATAAGATCACGGACTCTATATTTCCACGAGGTCACATCGATGTTAATATAACGCAGTTGAGGAAATATCCCCATTTGGACCATGTTGTTATAGGTCGTTAGTTTATACTTATTACAGATAAGCATCAACCACTATGAAAAACAAATAATAACACTTCAGGTAAAGCAATATTTTTCTATTGGCAATTTGTCAGGTGCTCGATCGAAATAATACGTTTAAAACAATTTAGAAAAAGAAATTGAGTAACTTCTTCTTCTTCCTCGTACGTTAGGACTCAGAGTCCTGTGTTTTTCTTCAACTTCCTAGTCCTGGGATGCTGATGTCCAGCTTTCGTACCATCGCTTCGGTGGTCTTCC